CGTTCATAAAGAGTGGTATAAAGCTATAAAATGTCATTGAAAAAGATAAGGTGAGTAATGACACAATTAAAAGTTTAAGAATTATAAAAAAGACCAGAATGAGGTGTTCAAAGAAGTGAGACAAGTCTCACTCACACCTAGACAATCATGTTAAAGATATTCAAATAAGAGGGTGTTAATAATCGTGAGACAAGTATCATTAACATCAAGATGATAATGTTAGGTTAAATTCGCATTTCATCAAATAAAGAAAGGGATGACCGGTTATCCAAAGAGTTAAGTGAACCTCATAACTAGAAGCAAGCTTCCATAATGTTTGAGTCAACTCTAAAAGTTGTAAAGAAAAAAAAGTTGAGCAAAGTACCGATAGACTAGCAATGAGCTTGTGCCATCACATGTAAGCCTCATGAGATGAGGCTACCACCAAGGTGGATAAGCAGCCTCTATATGTCTCCTAGTCTTCGAACTATTTTGCCAGCACAGGAACTAGTCAGTGGATTCCACCTAAGAGAGCTAAGTATGATGCGGTTTCACTTTGGCCGGTGAAACCACTCCTTTTCGATGTGTGACATACACTGAATTTTATGTTTAGCTCACATGATCTATGCCAGTTAAATGCTCAAAGAAAGTATTCGATTCACTTTAGCCGTGAACCACCTCTTATCGTTGTGGGGAAGACACTGGACTTGGTTTCACTTTAGCCGGTGAACCACCCCTTTTCGGAGTGGAGCAGACACTGAATTTCATGCTTAGCTCACATGATCTAGGTTCACTTTGATCAGTGAACCACCCCCTTTCAGTGTGGGGCAGACACTGGATTTCATGTTAGCTCGCATGAGCTTAATGCTAAAGATTTGTTTAAGAAAGTAAGAAAAAAAAAAGAAGTAATGTAAGTTCAAAGTGAACTAAGAAAGCAAGAGCTTAAGTATGTCAAATCATCTGTGATTGATAAGAAAATATAGAAGTTTTAACAAGTTATTAGCTTGTGCCAAATCAAGATATATGCTTTAATATCTTCACGTTATGCAAATGACCAGATAATGGGCATAGCCAAATAAAAAAAATTGGCTTATAATCACTTCTTATATTATGCCAATAAAGGGGAGTAAAACATAATGGCTAATCAATGCCCCATAATCTCCATAATATGAAAATGATGAAATAAGTGGCCTAGCCAATAAAGATTGGCTTATAAAGATTTCATGCCCAATTTAACAAGAATGGAAAGAATAACTTGTAGTAAGGGTAGCCAAATCATTTCCCTAGTCTTTTGGATTACTTACTCGATTCTTTGTAGGTATGGGACTAAAATGAATCATTGCATTTGTAAGTAAAATATAAGATTAAAGATATCTTTGAACTACACAACAACAAGAAGAAAAAGACTGAAAAATAAAGTAAGTGTTGGGGAAGGAGCTCTCAAATTTGGAGGAGCAAATTTCAAAATTTTCGTTCGAGTTGTTCTAAAATTATGTTCATACTTCTAAGGTCTTAAGTTCATATAGAAAATGAGTTGTGTGTTTTGAATGCATTAAAATATGTCATATTCATACCATATGTCACAAATAACGAATTTAGAAAGTCTAGTGACTTCACCTTCAAGAAATGACATGTTGTTATAGGAAGAGCTTTCCTTGATCATGCATAGTCCTTACGTGTATATGTGCATACACCCATACTTAGTACAAGTGTGTACTAACCCTATACTATTACTATTTTACAGGCGCAGGTCAGAGAGCAGATTGAAGACTCATTGAAGCGCAGTTTGGATTAGTGATCTCCAGATTTTGATAGGTCCTCTAGAGTTCGAGGATGCTACACCTATCTTTCTAGCTTAGTACTTTAGACATAGCTAGTGGATGTTGTCCCTAGCATTTCATTTCAGACTTTTATTCAATGCTTTGTATTAAGGTCGTTTGGCAAGCTATTACAATATATTGATTTCTTCATTGAATTGCTTAATCGATTGTAGATGGTTGTTTAGTTTGAGCTCATTAAAATATTATTCTATATAGTAATCATATGAAGTCTATGTATACTTAACTATGTTTTAAAAGTTTTAAATTTTCCGCAAATTTAACTATATGATTGTGATGAAAGCTAAGAAGAGGCTTGTCTGCAACCTTTGAGAGGTTAACGACGCCGCTTGCATTCGGATTCCAAAATCCGGTGGTGACACTTTCTCTGCACAATTAAAATTGAGTATAAAATGAAAAAATATTATATTTTTTTCTTGATATGATACAATTATCAATAAAAAGAAATAAATATATTTAGAAAAGAATTATCTTTTCTCAATTAATCTTGAGTATAAAATAAAAATAATTATTTTTCTCGATATGATTAAAAGCAATCAATAAAAGAAATAATTATATTTTACAAATATAGGATAAATAAATTAAACGAAAGTGGTAATAACGTAATTTTGATAATAAATGAGAAGAGACTGAAACTTACATATAAATCGCATTCCTTGAATGCTTTTTATGCCTTTTTTTAACTCAATGAATATTGAGTATAAAAATAATTATCTTTTCTCGATATGATAAAAGTAATCAATATATTTTACAAATAAAGGATGAATAAAATTAAACGAAAGTGGTTATAACGTAATTTCAACAATAAATGAGAAGAAACTGAAACTTACACATAAATCACATTCCCTGAATGTATTTTATGCCTTTCTTTTTCAGCTTAATGAATGTTGAAGTATAAAAAAAATTTATCTTTTCTCGATATGATAAAAATAATCAATAAAAGAAATAATTACATAGAGAAAATAGTAAACAAATAAAGTTAAACACAAGGGCTAATACCGTAATTTCAATAATAAATGGGAAGAAATTGAAACTTACACATAAGTCGCATTCCTTGAATGCATTTTGTGCTTTTTTCTCAGCTCAATTAATGTTGTGTATAAAATAAAATAAAAATTATTTTTTCTATATATGATAAAAGTAATCAACAAAAGAAATGAATATGTTTAGAAAATAGTAAACAAAAATAAAGTAATTTCAACAATAAATGGGAAGAGACTGAAACTTACACATAAATCGTGTTCGTTGAATGTGTTTTATTCCCTTCTTTCTTAGCTCAATTAATATTAAATATAAAATCAAAAAAATAATTATCTTTTCTCGATATGATAAAAACAATCAATATATTTAGAAAATAATAAACAAATAAAGTTAAACTAAAGGTGTAATAATGTAATTTCAATCAAGAATGAGAAGAGACTGAAACTTACACATAAATCGCATTCGGTGGGACCATAAAATTTTATCATTTTGTAGAGATATTATTTAATCGATAAATTAATATTTGTTAATTTAAAAAATGGTTTGAGACTTAATGAAGATTAGTTTTGAATATATTAAATTCATATTTTGCTAGATGATTTTAATAAGAAAATTAGCGATAAGCTTCAACTAGATTTAAATTTTAAGAAAAAAGACAAAACACAATAGAATCATATTTCACTAAATTATTTTAGATATATTTGTACTATTAAAGAATTATTAATTTATGATATTATTGGGACCATATATTTACATAAATTCATCCTAAAATGAGATTACTCTTAGAAGGCTAAGATTGTAACATCTAACATTCAACTCAAACAACAAACAAACAAATATATTATCTTATTATTATATCGAAATTGATGAATTTTTTCAGTGGCCCAAGTCGGGACCGGAGAAAAGTATTATTTTAGAGATTATTAATTTATATTACTTTATAGAGATTTTACTGTAATTCTCATCTTTTTTTCTCGATATGATAAAATTTATCAATAAAAAAATAAATATATTTATAAAATAGTAGACAAATAGAATTAAACGTATGGGGTAATAACGTGATTTTAACAATAAACGGGAAGAGACTGGAACTTATACGTAAATTGCATTCGTTGAATGCGTCTTATCACTTATGGGTTTTTTTCTCAGCTCGACTAATGTTGAGTATAAAATAAAAAATATATATATTTTTCTCGATAAGCTAAAAGTAATAAATATATATTAAAAATGTAGGATAAACAAAATTAAACAAAAGGAATACTAACGTAATTTTAGCAATAAATGGAAATAAGAGACTGAAACTTACACATAAATTTTATTCTTTCAATGCATTTTATGTCTTTCTTCTCAACACGGTTAATGTTGAGTATAAAATAATAAGTAAATTATTTTTTGGATATGATAAAAGTAATAAATATATTTTTAAAAATAGTAGACTAATAAAATTAAACGAAAGGGGTAATAACGTAATTTCAACATAAAAAAAAGAAACTGAAACTTACACATAAATCGTATTCGTTGAATTCGTTTTATGCTTTTCTTTCTCAGCTCAATTAGTGTTAAGTATAAGACAAAATAAATATTTATCTCTTTTTTCGATATGATAAAATAATAAATAAAGAACAAATAGATTTAAAAATATTAGACAAATAATATTAAACGGAAGAAATAATAATGTCTTTTCAACAATAAACGGAAATAAACTAAAGTTATAAATGTTTGTGCAAGTATAAATGATCTCATTAAAAGATTAACATTATTACTCTATTTATTTAAATTTATTTGATTTATTGTCCTTTTTAATCATTTTGAAAAGAAATACTTTTTTCTCTTTTTCGAAATTCTTTAATTTTAACTTTCTACCTAACATACTTATAACTAACTAACATTTTAATTACTTAATATATTTTTTTAATTTAAGATCCAAATATTAAAAGTCTTTTTAAATTTCTTAATTAATGTATTTGGTCACATTAGACCAAATAAATTAAAATGAAGAAAATATTAAACATATAATAATATTTATTTTTAAATCGGCTGAAAATAGAATTGTATCCAGAAATTACAATATGCATTATCTAAAATAATAAAAAGTCACGTGCGATGAAGTATAAGATATAATAATAATAAAATAAATTATATGATTTTGAAATAATTTTTTCCTGATCGAAGCTAATATTATATTGCCATGTGTCTTTTCTCTCAACCACTGTATAAAATTAGTGGCTGAAAATCAAAAAGTAGTGTAGTGGCGATCTTTTTTGATTTTGAGAATAGTACCCCAAATATCCATAGATACTTGTCGACAATTTTGCTTAATCGCCATTGATTTCAAAGATCCAGATCTTGTTCTTCATTGATAATTTAAGCTGTTTATAGATGAATTGAGGTGAATTTGAGCAGATTTGAACTCCATTGTAGGGTGTTTTCATGAAGTTTCAATGTCGCCTAAGACTCTAGATTCACGTCACGCCATTGAATCGTGTACGTATCATCTCCATTCTTGGAAACCCTTTCAGTTTCCGTCTCCGAATTCTAAAACCCTAGATTTAGATTCGCCAAAAACTTACTCCCCGTCGACCCATGGTGGGCTGCATACGAAGCGTCAATGTAGAGCGGATCGAACAACTTCGATTCCAATTGAAGCTCTTGATATGTCAAAGTTAAGTTTATTTGAGGAGGATAAGCCTTTATCGGTTCATAAACGGGAGAATCTTAGGTTGATAGCTGGTAAGAGGCGGAGACGTGGGTCTCGTTCGGTTTCCGGGAGGAGTAGTGATCGGAGTGGAACTAGAAGACGGTGTTGCTCGGTTGGAGCTTCAGCAGCTTATGGGACTTGTTCGGATTTTCCTGTTGCTGCGGGGACTGATTCAAGTGGGGAATTGTTCGTGAATGGGGATATGCATTGGACTTTGGATGTTAGTGAGGTTACAAAGAGTTTAAGGAAGGAGAAGGAAGGTGGTGGGGTTGGTGAAAGAGAGAATAATTTAAATGGTTTGTCTGTGCAAAGTGGGAATTTTGAGGGGTTGGGTAATGAGTCAGGGTATGGGAGTGAACCGGGGTATCGTGGTGATGCAGAGTTTGGATATGGTGATGAGTTTGATGAAGAAGAAGATGATCAACGGCTTTCCTTCTGGGGCGATGAATTTGGAGGTATACCGTGCAATCTGCATAAAGCCCTTTCATTTAAATATTTGTAGTGTCAGAATCAGCTTGTGCTAACCTTGACTATTCCTATGGATACATGGTAGCTCCCACCAATACAGTTAGCGTGTAACTTAAGCTTTTTGCCTGCTGAGATCTCATGGTTCTCCTCCTGCTTCATTGATTGATTGCTGAACCACACCCTAGGGTGCGTCCTGAATTATGCAATAAGCCGGAACTAGTTGGTTGTAGGTTAATGAATCATTATATCCATTTAGCTTCATTTGGGACGGTTGTCTTGATTGTTGTATCGTACTACTTAGATTTGCTCGAAGTATTTACCTGTTGAGACAAAGATTGACGTTCTGATCTCTGTCAGTAAAAATGGACTCTATATGGAATGCCATAGTTTTAAGAGTTACTGTTTGATATGTTCTATCAGAAAAGTCAGTTTCCTCCTGTCCGAAGAGTTAGACTAGACAATGCCAATGCCTTGTAGTCTCGGAAAGAAACATGTTAATAGCTTCTTTTAAGGATGTATGGCTGCTTGATGAACTCCTATAAGAAATATTGTTCAGGAAGTTATTTTTTTTGATTCATAACCATTTTCATGTTTGTGATACATATGTTTTTTCTGTGGAGAATCTTTATATTATGATTCTGCTAACAGAGAATATATATATTATGACACTCACGGAGAAGTTATTCCCTGTCTATAGAACACAAATACAGTACTGCAAGTTGGAATGGAAAGAAGTAATTAAGCAAAGTTGTGCCAGAACTATTGATGTTAATTCATTTATGCATTTGGTGGTTGATATATTGTTTTATTAATGCTTCAGCATTTGAAACAAATATGAGAGAGACCCGAGGGGGGGGGGGGCGGTCTGTGTGGAAGTTATTAAACTTTGGTTGGGATATGCAAATGATGGGTTTCTAATGGCTGATAGAAACATGATAAATGAAATTACAGAACTTGTAAATGTACATGGCACTAATCCAATGATTGGAACGGAGGATTAAACTTGGTTTTAGAAGTTGAGCTAGAAGTATGCCGTGAAGTTGTCAAGTTTCAATTATATCCCAGTTGGAGCTTTACAGTGAGCGTGGACATGTTTAAGATTTCAAGTGAAGTCTGGGTGAACTGTATATATTCTACTTGTGTATGTCTTAAAGTCCACGGTTGCTTTACTTGCAGTTGGTAGTTGTCTGTGACTTCTAACTCCTTTCCTTTTGATAAGGTAAATAATTTTTTTCAATGGAACGTTTACTAACTACTTCATCAAACAAAAAAGGTAAATACTTTAATAATACTGTAATAGTGTGACTTCTAACTTATATGTTGCTTAATATAGTCTACAGACAGTCTGCTCTTCCGATTCTTACTTTTCTGATGAGTGGTACCAGTGGTCTTATTTCTGTTTGTTTACAAGCAGGATTAAGACTATTATCTGCTTTGTTTTTCACTGAAGTCCTGTTAACAAATTTGTTCCAAATCAGTGCTTAAACTACCGTGTATAATCACTTGCCTTATGACACAATTAACTGCTTGTGCTATACTAATGGTGGCTCTTATATAGTTATAGCTGATATCAATGACTCATTAACCTATATTGACTTTTGAGTAGGGGTGGAAAGGGGATACAAATGATAGGGAAGCGTAAGGAGGTATTTTGTCATTCGTTGGAGTTAGCAAGTAAAGTTAATGCCTTTCAATTCCTTCGACTTTTCAAAGGTTAGAGATAGATATATAATGTGGAAATTCTAATTGGTCTCGGTGGTCCTCTGCTGAGATCCAGGCCTTCATTCCATCTTCATGATTCAATTCTTACGTAATCAAAATCGGTTTCTCATCCTTACTTTTTTACCCCATTGTTTGCAATCCTCCCTTTCTAAGGAAGTTCCAGTTTTTCTGGAAGATAGGAAACAGATAATGTCGCTCCAACCCCTTTTTCCCTTTGATTTAGTATAACCAGGGTAGATCTAGCCTTGTTTAACTGGGGAGTCAACTGACACCCCTTCTCCAAAAGTTACACTGCATAGATGGATTAAAATACTCCTAAAAACTTCATGGGGCTTCTTTGTGTGTTCACTTTTTTATATTTAGGATTTCTTACTGAAAAATTCTGGATCTACCATTGGTATAACCATGTTAACATGTATGCTGTGTTCTTTACTAGTGGCAGGTGGTTAAGATGTTTCTATAAGCAGACTGTTTTTGTTGAGATCTCAATAGAAGTGGAGGGCTGCATGATTCTAAGGCAGTTAGATTGAGCTTGGTAGTTGATCAGTAGTACTACTTTACTTGGTGCTTGTGTATGCACTCATGGCTGCTAATTGAGTAGAAAGCCCACCTATTGTGTTTACTTTATTGCTTAACTTGTTTCTTTGGTCTCTTGTACTAACAGCACTCTCTAGGATGGAGAAAGTTGGAGAGAACTCGTTGCAGAAGGTGCACCATAGATGTCGGCGGAGGAAACAAGATTGTCGAATGGTGATCCCTTGAGGTTTGCTGATGTTGATGAGTGTGATTGATAGCCGGTTCCAAGATTTTGCCAGTGATACAATCGTGTAATTCATGAGCAGAACCTTTTTGGGTTTGAATACAGAATCTGCTGCTGTAAATATGAACAAATGATGTTAATTGTTCATGTCTTATTGTCATGGTACCCCTGATGTTCACCATGGTATGTTTTGGTTGGGGATTAGACAAGTTAGTATATTGTACTATTTAAGGGGTCGTTTGATAGTGTGTAAGAGTAGCGTTGAATATTGTGTATTAGTAATACTGTGATTATCTTTTGTTGTGTTCTATTTCTTTTGGTATATTAAACATAACATGTTTTGCCTAATTTCTAAACCATTGCTGGTACCATGGTTAACTCTTTGGGAATTCAAAATTAAACTTGACTATTATTTCCAACTATTAACCTTAATAACTAGTAAGAAAATGTTCATAGATATTTTTATTTTATTGATAGTAAGAAACGGATCTTAATCATAAGAAAACAAATGAAAAAAGAAATTCAAAATATATACTTATTATTGTTAATTCTTTTAATTTTTTTTTAAAAAGAGAACATAAATGATTCTTTATATCATAAAAAATATCATAAAACGGTTGTATTTTAAAATTTCATATATATTTGATTTTTAAAATCTATCAAATAGTAGTGTTTGAACCTTGGTAGATGGTAGTAATTAATAAATAAATAATAACGAAGATACAAACACAATGCACATACCTTCCAAACGTAAGAAATTACATATAAAAAACACAATGTACATAACCTTCCAAACTAGAAATTATGTAAAACACAATGTACATACATTCCAAACTTAAGAAATTACATAGAAAAAACACAATGTACACATTTTCTTTGGGACCTTAATCATTAAAAAAATAAATGAATCAATGCACAATTTTGGATCTCTTAAAATTCAAGAGTGAGCTATATTTTACTACAATAATAATAATATAACGAAAACACTATTTCAAATATAATATAAAAAAATAAATTTTAAATGAAATTCTTATAAAATAAAAAATTATTAGTAATGTATATGAACAAAAATAGAGAAATCTTTAAAGACAGTTCTAGAATTGCTTTAAAATAGAGGAAGTAATAATCAAGATCTATCTAACATTAATGTACATAAATAACTCCCTTCATTTATTTGTCTATTTCTATTTTTAGAGTCAAACTATAAAAACTTTGATTAATATTTTAAAATGAATTTTTTCATCATATTAATATGCAAAAAGTTGTAACTTGTACTTTTCATATAGTTTTAGAATCTCTAATTTTTATTTTTTTTTGTTTAAAATATTAAATTAATGTAATTTTTGAAAATTAGTCAAATTGACTTTTGACAAGCTTAACATGACAAACAATTCTGAGTATATATTATCACCAAAAATTATAATTAAATGATGTGGGTCATATTTTAGCCCAAAATGGACACTCGTGTATCATATGATCTTATATTATATAGTATTGTTTTTGGAAATAGCAATCCCTATTCGATCTCAATTACAAGCAATAGTCCGGTGGTGCTCACTCCATGCACGTCTTCTTCTTGTATATACTCACCACATTTCTGTAAACTACTATCTCACAAATCAGTTCAAGACCCCATTTTTATCCCCTTTTTTTTCAATCACTAAACGGTACAATATGGAGCAAAATGGATATTGATAGTTGTATATGCCTATATTGTAAGTTCCCCATCGACCCATTTGCAAATCTTGGATTTATTCTCATTTTTTCTTGTGCTCCAACAATCTTGGAATCTGTGGCACAGTGTTTTATGTGCATTTCTTTCATTTACAAGCATGAGTAAGAAAATTTGATCCCTTTTAAGCTATGTATTGAAAGTCAAACTTTTCAATTGTGTATTGTGGTTGATGACTGAGTACAAAATTTCCTTCCTTTAAAGCTATATTTTGGAAGTTAATTTTTGAATGGTTATTGAAGCTGATGGATGGGTGCTTTGTAATTGAATTTTGGATATTCGGGGTGTAGAGTAGACCTAGTTTTGTTCACTTTCTTTTTCACCTAAAATTGTGTTTCCATGTCTATTAATCATTGGTTTACTGAGCTGAAGGTCTATCGGAAACATTATCCTTAGATGTCCATTAATCATTGAAGCTATGGGCCCATGGCTAATAGTTTAAGTGTTCCCAATTCTTGAGAACTGGATTTTCTGATACTTGGAGAAAATACTTTCTTTTTCTGTATTTGGTGACCATGCTCTTAAAGACTTGCAGTCCATATAAGTGAGTTATTTAGGTGTCTATTAATCATTGAAGTAAGTTATGGGCCCATGGCTAATAGCTTAAGTTTTCCTAATTCTAGAGGATTGCATTTTCTGATGTACAGGGACCTTAAAGAAGCTTTTTTCTTTTTGTATTATCTGACCATGCTCTCTTGTAGTCTATATTAATGAATTTCCATTTTGGGTTATCATAACTTTCTTTTATTCTTGTACTCTGTAAAGACACTATTTTTATTCGTTACGCGAAATTTATAGAAGATTGGCATTTGTGTTGTAGATAGTCGAGACAATAATTGCAGTGATTATTGAACAAAGTTAACCATAGTTCTTGTAGCACTTTTTTAAGTTTTGTATCTCCTTGAATTCTTTGTGCAGTAACTTCTTTATATTCTAACTCCCTTTACTGAAAATCCTGGCCCCATCACTGCCTAGATTAGTGTATGAATGGAATTGGAAGTCTTTGGGTTGTCATGAACCTTTCACATAATTAGGACCACATGAAGGAAAAATGATGTACCAGAGAGTTCTGGTGCCCTGAAAAAAAGTTCAGTTTAGTTGTGAATTCAGATTGTTTAATTTCTTTGTGTTTGATCACCAGCAAGTTTTCTCCAGAATTGGGAAGGATAATGCATGGCAGCATTTCTGTTCTTAGAAACTAGTGGACTTGACGTTATTACGAGCATTTGCATCATAGAAATAGAACAAAATCTTCCAAAAGCCAAAAAATAATAAAGTAAAGGCAAGATTAGGGAAAAATGATAAATGTGCTGATTAATGTCATAGTTTTCTTTTCTATTACTTTGGATCATGTCTAACTCCTTTTGTTGGAGAATGCTCTATTAAACGCCATGTCAGTGTCACTTGGGTTCCAATAGTTCCTACAAACAACATGATTGAGAGAACTGATTACAGAAAGATTTATGGAGATACTCTATTCTCAAACTATTATTCTACACAACTAGTATCTTAGGAGTAATTGTTAAGGAAGGAAAATAAGTTGCTGGCAATACCCTGAATTTAAGTCTAAACTAGGAAAGTGAGGTACTGATATGATCATGAGCGGAGCTTCTAACCTATAGGGGAGAGTTTTAGGGAGTAGACACTTGAGGTGCACTAGAATTGAGATGTTGTCTGGGAGCAACTTATGTGCTGTCAATAAGACAAATATGGTTGCCAATGCCATTTCAGGAAATGTTAAATTGGGTGATATTGTGCTGGCATCATTCTTGGAGGTTTACAGATCTCTACTTCAAATGTACAAGACACGTGAACCTTGATGTTAGAATGAATGGTAGAGTCAATTGGTCAAGCACTCATTTTCATTGTGTTCCTATGCGTGGAACTTAGCTGTTTTTGGCTACATCATAGTTGTAATTGAACAAGAACTCAGAGTAATTGACTGAATTATGGCATTCATCTTTCACAAGTTGATTGTTTTGCTCATCACTCCAATGATTTGATGCTGAGCCTCATGTACTGTTAGTCCTAGGCCCAACAACCCTTGATGAGAAAGTCAACACTGGTATTTGCCTTTTATATTGGTGGGTATCTTAGGTCAGCACCGGCATAAGCCACTTTTGATATCTTATATTTAAGAATGTAAGTCGTGTCCTGGTCTACCTTATGCCTCTTCATTCTTTGGGTTAAGTTAAGCCATGTGGTCCTTTAATCAAATCGTTGTGTTATCCTGAGATCTAAGCTTGGGAGCTTCTTCTCAGAAAGCAACTGGTGTAATTTGTTAAAACCCTTCTATATTTTAATTTCTATCTGCACTACTCTCTTTCACGATGTCTAATGTCATCAATAGTAACATACCCAGTGTAATCCCACATGTGGGGTATGGTGAGGGTAGGATATAAGCAAACCTTATACCACAATTTCATCATACACTTGAATTGATTAATGATATGTTGAGGAAGGAAAATTCATGCTTGTCTCTGTTGGTGCCAAAATGATTGCTCTTGTACAATTAACTTAGAAATCAATCCGAGTGATATAATGGCTTTCTTATGTAATTGGACATGCTTTATTTTATAGTATTAAAACTTCATGATGCACATGTTTGTGCTACATCTGTCCCCTTGCGCACTGACTTAGTACACGGGTTTTTGTGGCCTGAAGTACAAAAGAAACTCTTGGGGATCTTTTTGTATATATATGGTGCTATGTATTCTTCAGAGTGCTACTATTGTTGCTTGATGTAATGAGAACTGTATTAAGATTGTCATTAGACTTTAATTATCAACAACTGTTGCACAAATGGCAGGTCCGCATCCGTCCGAAAGAATAATCTTTCTGGGGCTTGAACTGCGAAGAGAAAAATATTTATCAAGATGACCTCGCTTGGAAACTATACCACTCACAGCACCAATGGACATTCAAATATCCTTAGACATGAAAAATGTGATGCTTATTTACTTTTCCATCTAGAAACTGCTCTTGGTGGAGGCTTTCGAACTTTCTTGTATTTTTTGGGTCTTGCCTATTGCTTTATTGGATTGTCAGCTATAACTGCTCGGTTTTTCCGGTCCATGGAGAGTGTTGTCAAGCATAGTCGGACTGTAGAGACGATAGATCCTCTCACAAACACAAAAGCTGTCAAAAATGAAAAGGTGTGGAATTACACAATTGCAGACATCACTCTACTGGCATTTGGGACTAGTTTTCCACAGATCTCGCTAGCTACAATTGATGCAATACGAAATATTGGAAAATTATATGCTGGAGGTCTGTTGAGGATTTTCTTCTCTGCATTCAGAATCTTGACTTAGTTGGTGTTATAATTTTTCTTCTTATTCATAATACGACGTAAGAAAGCGTGGCATCAAATTTTCAGATTCCTCTCTTCTTCATAATTTTTGTTTGTGTTACAATTTTTCCTTTGTTGAGGTTTGCCATATAATTATATGCTCCTTTAAAAAAGCATGACATCAAACTTTCAGTTTCCTCTTCTCCTATTTTTTAAATGTAGCTAGCCAAACTTTTCTAGTTGTAATGAATACTAAAGTGAGCCATTGATGTGTGTGTTTTTAGACTGTCTTGTGATGTCTGGGAAAGATGCACTCTGAGAGAT